ATTTTGTTTTTGATGCTGTTATTTGTTTTTATTATTACCAAACAGGGCCTCATGGAAGACCACCAAAATTGGTGATATGTGCCACCCTGTATAAATATCAGAAATAAATAAATAAATAAATAAATAAAATTTAAATTGTCATATTTTGGAATGTCACTTACTTCATTCATAAGGTTGATGCAGTGCTTATAAAGAAATTATATAAAGCAATGCCATAATGTAATTACTAATACAATTATCATATTACGAACAAAACACAGAAGCGTGTACACATATAGACTATTCCTCGATGTTACATTTCGTACAGATTCATATTGATAAACAAAATGGTTGAATTGTATCCTATGTTCTATTCTATAGGTTGAATGGATTGGGGTTAGTACATGACAAATCATTTCTATATTTCGACTACTCGTTCCGCATTTGCTTATGTTCCTAATAGACGTTTACACGAACGTATTTCTATCAATCCAATTATTTGATGTATGTATTTTATTGTAAATGTAATCATTGTATGGTTTATATGGTTTATACATGTCTGATTTTCATTTTTGTGAATAAATTAAATCAAATTGGATTGATCTGACAGTTCAAAGCCATCACAACTAACGACAGGTAGAATAATATTCTTCATTTTCTGATTACAAGGCACTATAGGTACACACTTCTCCAAAGCAAAATATTGGAAAATATCGGCAAACGCCTCAAGGGTAAGTTTCAGGAGGCCAAGTGGAGAGCTAAGAAAATATGAGTAAACAGAAAGCTCATAGGCTTTCACCATAAATCAGAAAAATGAACGTTTGTAAATGTCTAAGTTTGGATTTTTTTCCGGCAAAGATTGTCGACATATCCACATGGAATGTTACAAAATCATTACTCTACAAGTCTTCTGAAAATTGGAATAGATTATAATGCTAGATAATATAGTTATTCATTAAACATCCTATTTAAATTCCATTCATATTTGCCATTTTGTGTCATACACCTATATCTGCATCCAAAAGCATTTTATTCATAAATAACTATTGCTTCTCAATAGTATTAACATAAGTAGAGCGTGAATTCACTCTGAAATGCTTAACAAAAGTCATAACATCAACCAAATCGGTTATACTATTAAATACGATATCAACTTCTCGAAAAATCAACCTAAGGCATTTCAGTAGCAATGTAAGAACATGACGATGACGTATCACGTGATCCAAACATGATATCGACGGGATATACAATTATTGATTTTTTTTTTTTAATAATATTTTTTTAGTAACACGTCTGAAAAATTTGTCGCGACGGTCTTAAATATCCATATTATTAATGGAAAATTCATTTCAGGGTCTTTGGTCCAGTTTGCATTTTTAATTGCCAGAACACTGTACACTGATCTGTGTGACATAGTAATTTCTTCCTGGTATAAACATACAAAGGAGTAATATACTGAACGCCTAAATGGCGTCTGTACATACGCCTTCACGCGTTATCAAAGGTAATACAAAGTTTTGGTATAAGGTCATTATTTCGGTTCAAATGAACATATTGGAAGCATATGCGATCCTACAATATTCAATGATCGTTGTCGCTTAAATCGAGTCTAATATGATGAATTTGTGAATAATAAACTTTTGATATTACCTTAGCTTCAAGGCAATGTTTCTTGACTTAAACCAACCAATATTCTATTCCCATTTATAAATTATATATAAAAACTGCATATTCCGAGATTTTCATGGTCACAGCTACCATTGTATATATGTCCGTAGGCGCAATTTTTAATTTATCGGGAGCACCGATAAATTTGAAATCTCTCGAAATCCTAAGCCTTTTAAAGCCCAATTTTTTCAGAGTTGCTTCTTTTTAACACTAGGTTTCACAATGGCAATCCGAATTTTAAATTTCATAATAAAATCCTGTTGAAATATTACCATAACTTTGTATCACGTTTATTACAAGCAGTCACCTGAAGAAAACTCACGACTACTGATAATTATGGACAAATCAAAATATGGATGGAATAATTTTCTCTTGCACAACACGAATAATTTGCTTAAAAAATCATATGATATACATGAAAAGGCGTAAAATGCCATTTTATAGCTAGCTATGTCTCGCATGTGACGTCACGAATCCTGACGCTCTACGGAGGACCGCTGAAGGCAGGAAATCTGGATCTGAAAATTAACATTTTTGAGAAATGATTACTGCGGGCCCCAAACATATTTTGAAGAAGGAATTTGTTATATTTGATAAGTAAAGCTTTCCCTTTACATGAATGGTATGAATTTGCATCAATTTAAAACAATTTTGATTCTTTGGGTGACTACTTAATCCACATTCTGGCTCGCAACAGTATTCTGGTACATAACGCAAGTCTTGATCTCAGTACTGTGAGAAAGCAAACTTCCCTATTCCTCAGCTATAATGGACCGGATTTTAAACAATACATATTCCGGTGTGTATTTCGATAATGGCCTGCATCACCGTCGTATTCCTTAGCAACGCTTGCTTGAGGAGTTATAAAGACGTCTTTCATACCGAGACCTATGAATGAATCGTATAAGATAACCTCAAGTATACATCTTCCTTTACTGAATGGCCGAGAGGTCTATTAAAAAGGATATTGTGTATCGAATGCTACTTGGCATTTTGAAACGTTTTGTCAGTCAAAATGCCACATGGTATAAAATATGTGTAAATATACATTAAGTTTGTGTATATATTTTTTTTAAATATGAATCGTATGAATGGTTTGATTACCGCTTGTAATATTTAGTTCATCTTCGTGAAAGGGTGCAAGTAGAGGAAGAAGTAAGACGATTTGTCTTTTTAATGATGAAAGAGATGGTCTTTGCGGTAAAACGGGATTTGCCTCTGGACAGAAAATATTAAAACTTATTTGTGATGATCATATCTTTCGCAATCAGATATTAAATGAAAAAAATCATCAAATTTTGTAGGCCAAACAAAAAGCTTACAATCAGTGAATCAGAAGAATCCATGCAGGTGACATTCAATGAAGGTTCTCATGTTTTGTCAGCATCGGGACAAAATATTTTGCCAGATGCAAGACGGAACAAGGAACGCTACGTTTCAAATGCTTTCGAGACATAATAATTAAATTTATCTTCACATATAAGGACCTTATCAAAGTCCCCCTAGACCATTAACTCCCATACGAATTTACTAATTCCAAGTAACAAGTCTCTCTCTCTCTCTCTCTTTCTTTCTTTTTGATTTGATGTAATTCTGATCATCATGAAAGGCCGTTACAACCCATAACGATTGCTTCTAACCACATATCGAGCTAAGCAACCGCCAATCAAACCGGGATGAAATAGTGCATCTCGGGCTCGGATCGCATCATTGATTTGCGCCTGCCAGCTGAAACAATAATATACACTTTGTGGAACATGTTCCAAGGACAGGAATCTTCACATCGCGTTAAAGGCTTCTCAAATCCAGTCATCATTTCGGATTATTGTCTTATCGAGTATTTACTGCATCTGCTGGGTTTCACCCTTTTAAAGACGTCCTTATTTTGCATGCAAAAAGTACTTTTTTTATCAATTAAATTGCGAAAGGTAGTAAGTAACAGGTAACCCAAAGTTATACGCACACAAACAAAAGAGGAGTTCACTTCTCCAACTCCTCAACAAAAAAATCTTTAATAATCCTTCCTTTTTTTCAACGTATTTAACATAGATCATTCGATAATGCATACATAATTTCCTCTTGCAGATTTTGTAGAATATACTTTAGGTAGAGAAGAACTTACTCAAAGACCTAAAGGACAGGATATTTTGTTGTATTTTTTTTTAATCACTTACGGATATTTGTCTAAGGTAAAGAAAGTCTATAGTACTTGTCACCGGGAAACTGGACGTTTATACATTCATCTTCAGAGAATACCATTGAAGAGAGCCATAACTTAAGCTTTTCGACTTGCACTCATCAGAGTAAAACGCAAGAATACATTCATCTTCAATTTTATTATAGAGAAATAAGCAATGAAGTCCTAATACTTAAAGAAAAAGTGTGACATTTTGAAGTCATGAAAGCAGCTGATAACGGGCCTACGATGTGAATATTACACGAACTGTCAATAAAGGTCGGCATGTTAATTTCACTTTCACATGATACGATGTGCTCAGAAAGCTCATTTATTTACCAAACTGTTACATATATCCGATTAAAGTTGAACAAGTGAAATAGTTTGAAATATTAAAACAAATATATACTGAGAAAGAGAGAGAAAGAGAGAGTATATCTCATAAATGAATATAACAACTTTGTTCACTGTCTTGAAAAAGAATTAATTAAAAAGATACAGTGAAACATTTAATCACATGAGTTTAATAAAAGTGTCCATCCAGAGTTTGACGAATGTATAATAATGTAAACAGAAAAGTATATACTTGCTTACTTTAAATCAGATATGTAAACGGCCCACAAACACGTCTATATATATATATGTAAAAAGAAAAAAATTCTGCTATTTTCATCATGCTAATATTGTATATGAGCCAATCAAGTGGAATGTTGAGAGTAGATAACGGAGAAAACCATATCAACCGTGAAAGCGATTCGTACATTTGCCGAAAATAGACTTCTAAGCAGAGGAGTAATTTTGCTTTCTCGTTCTCTAGGTTTATTGGACGGCTATTTTAAATGTCATATATGGTTAGGATGAATCAGCATTTACAAATTGAAATATGGAATTTATTAAGATCCGCCAATATACTTGCACCGTTTTTATCTCGTCTGTCTGTCCGTCGTCTGCACAAAATGCAATATTTCAAAAATGCACGTAGGACAGGATAGGTAAGATAATTGAAATATATATCTTAAAAAGATAGCAATTCCCCTTTACACAGTTATTCATGTTTTAAAATTGAACATAAACCATGACAAATAAAATTGAAAAATAAGCTTCTTTTAAGTGAAGAAAGAAATATAATTAAGGACGTAAGTGTGACACATAAGATTTAAAATTATGAATGACTTACATATGATATCATGGGTAGATTCCAGGCAGCAGCTACTTTAGCCTCCGTGGTACAAGTTAGTCCAGGACCTATGAAAGCAACAATTCCATCCCGCCATTGGTCCGACAGGGCGCGTATAGAGCCTTCCTCGTTGCCGTACGTATCCAACCAGCGGAACTGGAGACGATATCCCGGCAGCATGTCCGGGTTATTGTTCACGTCCCGTACCGCTACGGTCATGGCGCCGCCGTTAAAGCGGACTAGACGGGCCACCTTGGTCTTGTCAGGGGCTAGAAATCCGAGAGTGATGACCTGGGTCTCATTCTGCGAGCTTGGGTCTATGTTGCTGATCTGGGCATGGTTTAGACCTAGCAGGCAGAGGACCAGGATCGTTAGATAGAACATGACTTCCATGGGTCTATCTTTTCGATGGTATTCACACATGCCTTATCTCCAGGGAATGCGCCGTCTCTTGAAGACGGCACACCTTAAACGTTTATGAATCTATTCCTGTGGTTCGTCCTATCCAAACACAATAACAACTTTTCTCAGCTTGGTTTTGCATAAAAACACCCCATCATGTTTAACCTTTGCTTTAGAAACAGACAATCGATCCAAATTTCCAATGATTATTTGCCTCTCAATAATACAAGTGTAAATGGGAAATTCAAAAGCAAACGAAACAACTATTTGCTTTTAATCGCCCATTAGAGGATTCAGACTAAATAATCGAAATCAGAAGAGTCCTGTCTCAATCTGCAGCTGAAAATCAAATATTTGAGCACACAATTTTATCGAAATCGTTCAACAGGCTGTGTTAGAGACACATATCAATCATATATACATACATGTATATAATTGATCTGACATATGTACAATGTCCATGAAATTAAAAAGGCAAACTGCACGAAATGATGTTCCGCTCATCATCTAGCAACCCAGGCATTTACAAAGATTTGTAGACTCTGACGACTAGGAGCAAATCAATTTTGGGTAGAAGTGTAATTCCGCTCGCTGTCAAAATAAATCACGAAATCCCTTCCGCGATGAAATTTAATTAACCAAGCATCATAGGCGAAGCACAAATATCGAGTTATCCCTCACATAAACATGTCGCAAATATCAAGAAATATCCTTCCTCCCTCGCTCGATAATGCTTCGAAAGGTTGTAGGAATCCTTTTTTCCTTCGCAGCTCCACCCTCCTGTTCTCATATGGCTGATAAAAACTGAAAAAGAGGAAGTCAGGCGGAGAGTTGGGAAGTGGTTTTATTTTGATCCGTTATTCACGACAGTGGTACGAGAGACTGGTAAGGAGCGCACAGACCGCTTCGCTTTCAATCGGTGGGAGAGCGGGCATATTTCACTTTTTCTCCCACTCACGTACATGCTCGCTCCCTCGCGCACTCACTCATTCGCTCTCTCCATCTCTCTCCTGGCAATTACTTTCCTTTGCTCTGGTTGGTCGCTGTGATCATCGTTATGTCGCCCTCATGGTATAAGCTATTCGTTTTAGGATTGGCAGTGACAGTGCGACGACCTGTGTTGTGGGAGAGAGAATGAAGAGATGAAAATGAAAGAAAATAGTTTATGTAACTGCACCAATCACAACCTAATTGCATATCGTTTTCGTTCATTCGTACATTCAATTTCAAGAGGAAGAACGAAGAAGATAACATGGGTTATACACTACACTTGGGTTTCTATTATTTTGAATTCGCACGGAATTAATTTTACTATTACAAATCTTAACGTCGTTGATAGAATGCTGTTTGAATAATTCACTGCAGTTTTCAGAATGTAGATTTGTGAAGTTGTGGGTGCTCTTTTTCTAAGTAATAACTTTACAAAATGAAATCGCGATAGAAAGCAAAGTTAGAACCTCTATGTCACGAAAAGCAAACATTGTCATAACTTTTCTACATGGTCTTGGCTCACAAGGCAAATTTGACCAGAAAAGGATTTGAAGTGCAACCATACTGATATCATTAATCGGGAAATTAAACTAATTGTTAACAGTAGTATTGAATCTAAGTGTTTACTTCAGTTGTAGTATGGCATAAATGTGTTTATTTTATCAACGAAACTTGATAAGAAAATTATTAGCAGCTGAGTGCATTAGCAGCTAACATGCTGAATACTCGATCTGTTCCACTTCTATTATGGTTGAGTTACAAAAGGAAATTGGTAACAGATATTTACATATTTCCATAACTGTTCACTGACCATGTAAATTTGTTCCATATATTGTTTTCTCGGTTAAATGGTAACAGTTGGACTTGGTATGCCATTTACTTAAAAACAAAATATTTGGTCTATGAAGGATCACATTAACGAAATCAGAACACTCATGTCTCATGCCTGCCACTGTGTCTGGAACGCCCCCTCAACCTCTTCTTTATCTAAGATGTTTACCCATTTAGCTCTCTCACTTCGCCCCTTCCCATCCTCCCTCTCTCTCTCTCTCTCTCTCTCTCTCTCACACACACACACACCCACACACGCGGGCACCGATGTCTGTCCTCGATATGAAGGTCCTATACGTTTGTGTGTTCGCGTTTTCCACCATGGGTAAGTGCACACACACATACACACACACACACACACGCACATGCCTGTACTCATTATCTCACTTTTTAATTTCTTTCTTTCTTAAATCTTCTTCCCATGTTTTACAACGTACAAATGTATAATATCTATATATATTATCTATCCATCCTGAACTCTATCTCTCTATCATCCCCAAAAGAGTCAAATATGCCCCTCCCATCTTTTCTCTCATTCCCCCCAATTTCTGTTTAAGGTTCGTCGTAAAACTGAACAAATTGTTCCTCACCCTCATCCCCCTCTCTCTCTCTCTCTCTCTCTCTCTCTCATCTTCCCTTTCTCTCTCTCTCTCGCACTTTTCACATCTTCAATATATCTTTCACTTCACCCATTCTTGTATCTATCTGTCCATTTACTAAAAATAATACTCAGTCCCAATTGTTCCTTCATTTTAGGACAGTAAGACATCGTTTCAATACCGAAAAGGGCAAGAGATTGCTGACATAACGCACCGCAACCGATTATTTTTTTAACCTTTAACTCTGTGAAACTACATAACTATTTTTTTTTCTTCTTAATGTTTTTACAAGCTAGATCGTCACCTGTAGTGTCAGAATGTGATAAACGTTTGTGGAATTATAAAAAATGCAATCTATTATAGAGTAACTAAAAACTCATTCGATGACAGGAAAATAAATTTCAGTGTTAATGATATGACATACTGTATAAGTAATGACATTTATTCAAGGCTCCCAAATTCTACAATTATTTTTGGAAGCAAGGCAGATTTTCATCATATCCGTGAGATTTAAGAAAATCATTTTCTCATCACACCATATTGATTAATGGTGTTGCTTTGCGCCACAATATTTTCATCGCACGCCTAATCTCAGCCCATCGATCACTCTTATGAGAGTACGTGCAATTGAAAGCGACAGTCGCGAGCAATAATTGATATGAAACTACGTCCGGCAGGGTATTTCAGTCACGTGATAAACAATGTCCTTGCTAGAAGTATCTTTTGCCAAAAGAAATTGCGAGTCATTTAGAAGGAATGGAACAGAATGTCAATTTATCATATATTTGATTTGGCAAAAAGGTCTGCAAATAGTGTGTGCCGTCGATTGTGAAGAGCTTTCACACGATCACGTGTCGTATCAGACGCTAGATACAGTTTCATTATATCATCTTACTTGCATTAATTACTCAACTAATGTGTTTATCATCAATCCATTAACTCGTTTAAATTTCGAACAATGACATCTCTCATGAAAGTGCAAATAAGTTTAATAGGAAATACATACCATCTTTTAAGAGCTTCCCACTGACTATTAATGGAACTCTAATTAATGAACGCTATTAAACATGAGAACCGTTTTAGTTTGATCAAATTTGACTTGATGTTTATACTCCGTACGTTTTCCATTAACAACCTTTTAATATGACATGAATAACAAATAGATGAAGTTATATACAGAACATGCCACTTTATGAAGAATGAGTTAGAGCTAAAGTGATGTTACTACTTGAAGACAAATAAGTAGATCGTGTTGGATAAATAAGATTAAAATGAAATGAAGCAGAAAATGATCAGTAGAAGAGAGGAGAGGGAGAGAGAGAGAGAGAGAGAGAGATAAGGAGATGGGAGGGGGGGGGGGGTAAATTGAATTTAGATAGAATCAGGAGGAATGTATTAAATTGCACAAACATCAATCATTTCTTGAACAGAAGATTCAATGGCAACGGACACTCGAAGAGTCTGCTCTACTAACTTTATTTTGAATTACTCGATTTAACATCAAATTATGTTCTGCATTTGTGGAATTATGAATTTAGCAGTTCTGGTTGACAAAATACATTGATGGATGACAATTTTCAAGTAGTGATCCTAACTCTGTATATTAGTGAATTCAACAAAGGGAAACAATCCGCATGAATCTTGTTAAAGATTGATTTAAAATTCATTGATATCATGCAACATGTCTTGAACAATAGGAACCAAATACAATCCTTTCACAAACCGTTGGCTGCAATGTAATTCAGGAAAAAAGGTGGCTGCTACTCAAAAATAGTTCCTGAATATATTTCCAAATATGAAAGGGATGTGCCTTCTCTTTATATATTAAAAACTAGCATGCATTCACAACGAAACAGGTACAGAAGTTCGATATTAACTTTTCACATTGTCATTTTTTTCATTGTAAATTATAACCAGAATGTATTGGTAAAAGAAAAAAACTTTTGAAAATTCACATGAAGATATCAAGACAAATTCTCATGGAGGGTTTTTATTTATCTATTACATACGAGTAATTGAAAATAGACGAAGGATGTCAATTCTAACCATTCAGGGAATTCGATTTAACAAGAAAAAGGATTTTATTAAAAAGAAGATATGATGAGAGTTCTACAGGGTGCGTTCTCATGTTGGTAATTTTGTGATTCTCAGAGGCATGTTAGGTTCAAATGAATATATTTGGAACAGTCGAAGGTACCAAGTGTGGGTAATTTTACTCTTGCCCGAACAAAATAATGTGTATTATTTGTTTCATAAGCTGATGTTGTATTTGCTTTATAAATTAGTAAAATTACGTGTTAGGCAAAATAAAAGCCTGGTCACCTGTACGCTCTCAACCCATCATTTGATTAGGATCCGCTTCATCATCTTATCAATGGCAATATTTCAAGCCGCATGGACAGCGAATCTGATGAATCATTTTGCTTTCCATGCTATATATTCATATCTGTATGGTAAAAATCGTGGTTTAAAATTTCACGACGTATGGGCTACGAATTGGGACGACACGTCGTGGTCCATGCGATGAGATTATCGAATTGCTTCATGTTACGCATCGTAAGGACAGCAGAT